CTGTGGTGTTAAGGTCAAGATTTTTTACTTGACTTAGAAGGTCAGTTGATTATAAATTTTTACAAAAGGTGTATTCCAAACTTAAATGCTAGGTTTAAATCTCACTTTTCCAAATTTGTACTTGTTTAATAAAAAAAAGTCAAGAATTTTTTTTTTCGTCAGCTTGAGAAGGTCGAGATAATGAATTTCATTGTTTTGATCCCAAATTAAGTTATTGAAATAAATGAAATTAGTGTTTACTAAATCAGCATAGATTTATATGCATAATTTTGGATTCAAATGCTTATGAAAAGAAATCTATACTGATTCTCTTTGTTGATGTGTATATGGTTGGAAATTTGATGTATCCTATTAAATTATGATAAAGATTTCATTAACAATGATACCGTAGATAATTTTCTTACATAATTTTTATATGTTATTAAATGAGTAGATATATACAATATTATAAATTACAATAAAATAAAAAAAATCAATTATTAAATAACATGTAAAGTTATATTAAAAAATTATCTTTCAATAATTTTTCTTTTAACTTTCATCGACATTTGTCATATATGATATTCTCATGTGGAAAGAACAATTATTATCATTTGATTATATAAACATAATCAATCATTACTACAAAACACTTTTTCTTAAGATCTAAGGAATCTTCTCTCTAGATATAGCGACAATTTATCTAAAAACACATTTTTAATTGGAAGGTAAGTATGAAGGCCAAAAAAAAAAAAAATGTATACAAGAACTAGGTATATACTGCATGAAGCTTTCACGTTTCCCCCTAAGTTAGAAAAGAAAAATGATAAACCTTGTTCACTTTTTCTTTTTTTCATTTTTGCCAAACAAGATAAACAATGTAAAAAATACTATTTAGTCACCAAGATAGAAACACTAAAGGATTTTTTTATTTATTATTTTGGATCAAAAATAAATTTTTTAAGAAACTTATACTAAGTATGTAACATTAAAAATCCTAATTTATTTTTAAAAATGTATAATTATTCTTTATTTTTTCATATATTTTTTAAAAATAAAATTAAAAATATTAATATTGGATTCATGACCCAGAAAACTCAAAGCCCAGCCCCAACACAAATTGTCCACCCAACCCAAATTGTTCTTGAGGGCACAATCAGATGCTACAGCTCTTTCATATCTTTCTTATACATTACATTAATACAGAAACAGAGAGAGACGAAAACGCTAGCTGAGAAAAGAGCAGATAAAAGAGGGGACGGAGCGACTCGATCTGCTCTAATCGCCGCTTTCATCTTTGTTTTCAAAAGTAATTCTTCCTTTGCCTTTACGAATTCTTCCAGCTTGCTTTATTTATTTATTTTTTTTCCAGAAATTCTTCCAAATTTGATTCCTTTTCTCCAAATTCTTCATGTTTTAGGGTTTCTCTACTCCCTATGTCTCTCCTTATTAATTTCTCCCATTTTTTCAATTTGGGATTGTCTAAATTTGATTGCTTTATTGAGAACTGCGTTGTCTTCAGTTCACTGTTTTAGGCTGTATTGATTTTGTTTGAGCTTTGATATTACAGCTTCAATTGGGTGTCTTTCTTGTTGATTACAAATTTGGGTTTTGTTTTTTCACTTTTGGTAGACTTTTGCAGCTGCAATTTAGCTAGAAGTTGTGTTAGTTGCTTTGAATTTGTTGTATATAGATGCGCACGTGAATATGTGTATGCTGAGGCATTCAGGTTCAAAAACTTTTCCTCTCTGGGTTTTAATTTCAATGCTAGTCAAGGAGTTGTTTTTTGAATTTTGGAGGGTCTGCATTATGGGTTGTAGTTTCTCCCAGAATTTATTCTACTATATGGTCCTTTATGATTTGCTAGTATTTTAGTACCTTTTATATTCTGATTATAATCTCTTCTAATGTCTTATTGGTTTATAAGGGTTTTAGCAGCAGTTTTTATTTTTCTGGGAAGTAATATAATTTCTCTTAACCAGATATTGATTTGGTATATATGAAAACACAGTACGTGGTTGGATAATGGCTGTTCAGGCTCCTGCCAAACGGGTTTTCGATTTTGATGATGATGATGATGATGATGATAGACCTTTAACCTTTAAAAGAACCAGTACACAATCCTCTAAGCAAAATCAGTTGAAGTCAGAAGTAAAGAAGCCATTATCTCAAAGGCATGATGGGCAGCCGGGAAAGCCACCAGCTGGTGTACAATCTCTCAATGGTCAAAGCTCCAATGCCCAGAAGACTAAGACTATTCTGTCTTCCAAGGCGTCTCCAGTCAAATCTCCTCTAGCAAGTCCAACACCATCAACTTCATTGGCCAGGGTATCGCCAGTGAAGTCACCAGTGTTGTATTCAAAGGCATCAACTTCATTGAGTGATCATCCAAAGCAGGCATTAAAACGTAATGTGTCTCCTGCTGTTAAGGAGGAGAAAAGCCCAACAAAACATGGAATTGAGCCAGAGAGTGATGAGGAGGATTCTGAAGATGATGTCCCTCTGAGTGCTAGGCTTAAGGGTAATTCAAATCAAGGTGCCAAGGGTCCCAGCACTTCTGCTCGTGCAAAAACACAGCAACTAGTGCCAAAGACTGAAAACAAAGGATTTAATGAAGATTTGGATGATTCTGCTCCTCTGTCCTCAAGGTTCAACATGAAGTCTGGTACATGGACTTCAAGTAACAGGCTTAATGATACTGATGAGAAGAAACCTTTGATCTCTAAAATTCAGCAGAATGGATCCATGATGAAAGACAAACAATTGAAGTTGTCCATGGTATCGGGTAAGAGACCTCTTGAGAAGGGCAATTCTTCAGACCCGTCTTCAGTTAAAAAGCCAAAGCTTTCAGATGCATCTACTACAGTGAAAGCCAAGCAAGTAACAGTAAAAGCAGAAGAGAAGGCTGATGATGATGACCACATTCCAATTGCCCAGAGAATGAAAAAGTCTACTTCATTGGATGCTAAGTCGTCATCTATGAAGCAAAAAGCAACCAAGGTTACCTCTGCTTCATTTAAAAACACAAATAAGAAATTCAAGAAAGACATGAAAAATTCAAAATACGGTAAGTCAACAAAGGTTCCGCCCGGCTCTGGTGATGGGCAAAAGAAATGGACTACTTTGGTACACAGTGGTGTTATTTTCCCACCTCCCTACAAGGCTCATGGAGTTAAGATGCTCTATAATGGGAAGGCAGTTGATTTAACTCCTGAACAAGAGGAGGTCTTTTTCTGTCTCAGTAAATATGTTCTTTATACATTTATGTTTTCTCAAATTTTTCTTCTTTTTTTGTAAGGATTTGTGTCATTGCAATTGTGGAAGTTTTCATGGTTCAAATATGCTGCTTGCTGATAATAACTCATTTTTACTCCAAATATGTTCGTTTGGCAGGTTGCAACTATGTTTGCTGTTATGAAAGACACAGATTACATGAACAAACCACAGTTCAAGAAGAACTTCTGGGATGATTGGAGTAAAATATTGGGTAAAAACCATGTCATTAAGGACGTGGAGAAATGTGATTTCACCCCAATATATGAGTGGCATATGGAAGAGAAAGAGAAGAAGAAACAAATGACTTCTGAAGTAAGTTCATTCCAAGTAATTTTGCATTGGCATACACGATTATTAGTTAGCACACAAAGTTGATTATAAAATAAAGTTTCCATAAGAATTTTTATTTCTCTTTTGTAGTTGGTCATGCTTCCTTTTTCATCATTCATTGTAGCCTGTAACTATCTCATTTTTATCCCACCACTGTAAAGTGCTCAATCTGCATTTGGCAGAACAAGTTCTTACACTTTCTTTCTTTTATTCATGTTTCTGATTCAAATGCGCCATTATTTGATCTAAAAATTCTGTGTGTAGGAGAAGAAGGCATTGAAAGAAGAGAAGTTGAAGCAGGAGGAAAAATATATGTGGGCTATTGTTGATGGTGTCAAAGAGAAGGTCAAACCATTGTTTTAGTAATCATTTTACGGCTTTTGGAAACTTTCTCAGTTTTTTTTCCCTTTAAAAATTTAATCTCTCGTGGCTTCTGCATTTATTTTATTTATCTTTTTTCTGGATTTTGGCAGTATCATGTCATATGTTGAGCCTTGGAATTATTTTATTTCTTTATTAGTGGCCTTGGAATTATTAGTATATGGAAGCTTTTACAAGAGTCGTTCTTTTAAACTATGCCTATGGTATTACCATTTATTTTCCTCTAGCAGGGCCTTGAATTATTGAATTTCACTCTTGAAATTCTATAAATCTTGAAATTCTTATTTGTTCATCTGTAGGTCTATCTGCTATTTAGAGAAGAAAAATAGAACATAGATATTTATGTGCCAATTATATGTAGATATATGCAGTTGCATACTCTTCATAGTTCTCTTTGCATGCCCATATTTTTAATTATTACATTGCTTGGGTAATATGCTCACCAAAGCCTATTTTATTGTTGGAAGTGCTTGCTTGGTTTCTTAATCTGGTTTCTAATCCTTCTGAGTGTATGCTGATTCTGATGATTGTTTCTATTGCAGGTTGGGAATTTCCGAGTTGAGCCCCCTGGGCTTTTTCGAGGACGAGGAGAGCATCCAAAGGCACAGTGACATCTTTCTAAATCTATTCAAAGTCATAGTTTTCAATATATGGTGCCCATGACTGAATTTTCCCTGTTCTTACATAGCCTTTTTGTGACTTATCAGATGGGAAAGTTGAAAAGGCGTATCTGTCCAAATGACATCACAATAAACATAGGAAAGGATGCTCCAATTCCAGAATGTCCAATCCCGGGTGAAAGGTTAGAGATTGAGTGTTAATATGCTTTGAAAGATTAGAAGGTCATTCTTTATTTAGATTATTTTAACTTTGAGATCTTTTCCCCGAGTTGGCAGATGGAAAGATATAAAGCATGACAATACTGTTACGTGGTTAGCTTTCTGGAATGATCCAATTAATCCAAAAGAATTCAAGTACGTGTTTTTGGCAGCTAGCAGTTCCTTGAAGGGGCAAAGTGACAAGGAGAAATATGAGAAAGCAAGGATGCTGAAGGTAATCAGCTATGGTGTGGTGCTCTATTTTTAACATTATTGTTTTTCTTTTATATATATATATATAAAGAACAATCTATGAAAAGCTAGTTGTTTTTTGATTCCAGGATTACATCGTTAACATCAGAGCAGCATATACAAAGGACTTCACAAATAAAGATACCACAAAGCGACAAATAGCAGTTGCTACTTACCTTATTGATAAACTAGCTCTTAGGGCGGGTAATGAGAAGGTGTGTCATAATTTTTTTAATGAACAATTCTTTATATGGATTCATCAGTAGGCTCTCTGATTCCAGGCGCTTATTTTAGTATGTTCTTATCATAATTTATTTTATTAATGAAATAGCTTTTTTTTCAAAGGATTTCATCTGGCCCTGTTACCTTTTAGCAGCAAAGGGCCTTATAAACTGCATAATTTTTCATGCTTTTGTTCATTTTCTGCTTGGCCATATGCAGGATGATGATGAAGCAGATACAGTTGGTTGCTGCACACTTAAAGTGGGAAACGTTGAGTGTATCCCTCCAAATAAGTTGAAGGTATACTAAAACCTATTATATACCACAACCTATGTGCTCAACATTGATTCAATCAATATTTTGTAAGATTTTACTTGTATAAATGTCTATTTGAGGTAATTGATTCAACACAAAGTCAAATAACATAGGCAGCCCCCAATTATGGTTTTCTGCTACATTTGGTAGCTGTTGAACTGGATTTACCTTCCTTAGACTAGCTGGTGTTCAAACTTGTAATTATACTGTGTTGCATGTTTATATTATTGCTTTAAAGCCAGATGTTTACTTTCTACTTAGTTTGGTGGTAATGAATGTGCCTTTGCTTTATTATTCAGTTTGACTTCCTTGGTAAAGATTCAATTCAATATGTGAATACGGTTGATGTTGAGCTTCCTGTTTACAAGGCTATTGGGCAGTTTCAAACTAGTGAGTGAAAAGATCTCTTATATTAGTTTTCATGTCTTGTTTACTATTTAATGCATTCCAATCTGTATGATCTTCTTTTTGTGCAGGAAAGAAACCAAATGAGGATCTTTTTGATTTGCTGGATACAAGTAAACTAAATGCTCATCTAAAGGAACTCATGCCTGGCCTTACAGCAAAAGTCTTCCGTACATATAATGCATCCATTACATTGGATGAAATGGTATGTGACAATCTATATGTTCTCAGACACGCATGAAAATTTTTATATGCCTGTGCCTACATCCATTACCAGGATACTCCATGTAATCTTGTCTTTAGTGAGAGTCATAAGCATGTGGGAAAAAAAATTAAAATCTATTGAAACATAATGATTAGCTTTTTTATATAGAGATTTTATGAACAGCTTAATTTAATGATTGGTCTATTAACTATTAGCCTAATTTCATTTTAGTCTAGAAAGTTAGTTTTCTTTCTAAATAGTCTATAAACTTTGTAAAATATTTCAGAACAATCTACTATACAAAACTTCTATTAGTTTTGACAGAAAAATAAGAGAAAAGTTAAATCAAAATTAAAATAGAGTAGTCCCAGCCAGCAAAGCAATCCACAACAGACTGTGCAACCTATTAAAACATGTCAATAATTGTGATTTTTGCTACAAAAAAGAATTGTTAAAAGGGAAAACTGAAGCAGCATGTGATAAAGATTATAGTTTCTCAGATAGTGAAAAAGAACTTATCATCCTCGTAAAATTAGTTTTATGTCAAAATTAATTTCAAGGAGTAAAAATTTGCAAAAGATATAGTTGAAGATCAATTTGACCAAACGGAGTGAAGTTGTTGTTAGAAAGTTAATAAACTAGACTAAACTGAAATAAAAATAAAAGATAGTAGATGGATTTGAAAGTATCTAAAGATGGTAGACGAAACAGAAAAAAATATAAAAGTTACTAGACTGTTTATTAAATTAAGCCTTTTGTGAACTTTCAAGGTTGAGGACCAAGTTTTAAAACCTAATTTTATTGGTTAGCAGCCATCTCTTTCTATTTTAAGTTTTGACTTATTAGAGCAGTTTGGTGCTTGATAGAGAGATGACAATTTTTTTATATTGAGGCATTTACGTTATAAAATACATCATTTACCTGTGTTGGAATGTTGATGTATTTTCTAGTTTTCCTGTATTTTTGACAAGTTCTTCTTTTGCTGGATTTTTCTTCTATCAATTTCATCTTAGGATTTCCTCTCATCTTATGACAGTTGAGCATAGAAACCAAGGATGGAGATGTTGCAGAAAAAGTAGTTGTTTATCAAAGGGCAAACAAGGAGGTGAAGATAATTTATCATTGGATGCTTAGCTAGTCACAGTGTCTATTTTGAGTGCTCTTTTGCATCTAAAAATTTCTTTTCTTGCAATAGGTTGCCATCATTTGTAATCATCAGCGTACTATTTCAAAATCTCACAGTGCACAGATGTCGAGGTTGACTGAGAAAATAGAAGAACTGAAGGTAATAACTCCCACCTGAAGATTTTCCTTGGTCATATAAACAACTTTTAGACTTGTCCTATGCATGTGGTGCATTGATGTCTTTACATGCAGGGTCGTTGTTGTTGTTTGTTCCAATGAAAAGACAATTGCCATGTATTATTTAGAATGTTATCATTTCTTTATCTGGCTCTCACTTTCATGTTTCATTACACTCCATGCATATATACACGTGCCTCTGTGCACCGATGATATATTGCTCTGTGCATATTGAAATTCTGTTAGTTCCTTCTCACGGCTTCTGTCATGAAGCATGAACTGACTTTTGATCTCTTGCTTTTAGGGCGTTCTAAAGGAGCTAAAAATTGATTTGGACAGGGCCAAGAAAGGCAAGCCTCCATTAAAGGATTCCAATGGGAAACAGAAGAGGAACTTGACTCCTGAAGCGTATTTTAACTTGTTCCCTTAATTCAACTTTATTTTTGCTTTTAACCCTATATGCTATTTCATCTATATGTCTTCATCAAACTTCACGCAGCTTGCAGAAGAAGATAACTCAAACCAATGCAAAGATTGAGAAAATGGAACGGGACATGCAGACCAAGGAGGATCTTAAAACTGTGGCATTAGGCACGTCCAAAATCAATTACCTTGACCCTAGGATTACAGTTGCATGGTGCAAGCGGCACGAAGTTCCCATTGAGAAGGTAAAAGGTTTTGCATTTATCTTCTTGGATGAAATAAAAATTATCCTATGGAATTCACTTCTTTTATTTTACTTCAATCGAAACAGATTTTCAACAAGTCTCTTCTAGCGAAGTTTGCATGGGCAATGGATGTGGATCCAGATTTCAGATTCTGATATTTAAAAGGAAACTTGGTATTTTGCTCCAAAGTTCTTCGCCTGCCACCCTCATCCCAAGCAAAAAAGGGTGACAAAAGGAAAAAAAACATAAGAGCCTCCCATTTTTCTGTTATAGTTATTTCCAATTTCATTTTCCTTTTTTCCCCATATTGTTAGGAAAGAAAAAGAATTCATGTTGTAACGTTGATCTAATCTAATCAAGGGCAAGGTTGCTCCTTCCATTTTATTTCAAACTGTTGAATGACAGCTACTGTTTGTCAAAACTCTTGAACATTTACTAACAGCCAAAATGCCAGGAATATATTGAAAATCTATTGAGAAAGAGAGTAAGTGTCATCACTTGAAATTTCTCCCTTATAGGTGTCACGTTCTTGGTAGGTTTTGAAGTGAGATAGTCGATGGACTCTCAGTATCTATGGTCCAAAGGATATCTTACTCTGGGCCATAATTTTGTTATATGGTCCTCGCCCCTTCTAAATCCCCCCATTCACCTCGAGTAAAAGCTTAGTTGAAAGATTGAAACCTTCAACTTAACGGGGCATGAAGTTCTTACTAGTTGGTTTTTCTTTTCTTCTCTATGTTTTTATGAGCCTATCTATTCTGAATATCACATCTCAACAGACATATGTAAAAGATTTTGAACCAAGTTATTAACTTGTCTCATTTTCTGTTCTGAAATTTTGAGGTCAAAGGTTTGAGGTTAATGTTGTCTGTGGGATCATGAGATGAGGTTTACATCCATGTCATTTGATGTTGGAGAAGGAAAAGGAAATAGACAGAACACTCATAAATTAATCATTTCAAAAGTACTTTGCTCTAAAACACTTGCAGAACAGTGGCACAGATTTTATTTGCACTTCAACTGCATAACTTAGAAGAACAAAGACAAAACTGAAACACACCCTTACAAAACCACACAAAGCAGCACATTTGAGTCCTTAGAAAGACTTATTTCAGACATAACAGCATATACTTAAGCCACATAATTTGACATATTATTTTCCTAGACACCGTATCTGAGCCAAATGACATAGAGCCTTCCTTAGTTGTCAGTCTCAGCCTCAGCCTCAACAGTACCAGCTTGCCCTGGTTTGTGATGTTTCTTGTGGTGATGGTGGTGTTTCTTTTCATGCTTGTGATGCTCCACATGATGGGCATCGGTAGTAGCTTCACCAATCTCTGCACAAAGGAGAAGGGTAATTAGTTAGTGAAATCATTAGTTCAAACACAAGAATTAAAAAAAAAAAAAAAAAAAGGAGACACACTCACTGGCTGTCTCAGTTGCCTCAGTTGCCTCAGCAAGCTCACGAGCTGAAACCTCAGAGGAGATGAGGAGCACAACTGCAAAAGCAAGGCCAAGAAGGAGAAGAACCTTAGAAGAAGCCATTTCTTTTTGAGAAAGAGAGAAACAGAAGGATTTATCTAGTATATAATTTGTTTTGGATGTGAGATGGAAGTGAAAAGGGTTCTTTATTTATAGAAGGAATGGAGGAAGGGGAGGGGTTTGTGGGGAGGTGAGGACTGGGGACTGCAACATTTTTATTTCAACGTGCTTAGCATAGCTAGGAGTCCGAATGGTCAAGATCAAGCTGTGCATTGTGGGCCAAATTGTTCTATAGTTTGACACCTCACGCAGAGGATATAGATAAAATATATTAATGAAGTAGTGATCATTATTTGGGGATTGTATCAATTTGTACGTACTTAATTAATAGATTGAAAATTTGATTATGATGTGATTCATATAATCATGATTTATATTAAAATTTATCATAGTTTCATAATTTTTTATGTTAAAGTTTATAAATTATTAAAACTTAAAAATTTAAATTATTAATAATAATTAATTTCTACACTTA